ATGATTTTAGTGAACGTTCCAAACACTACATTAGTCACTAGTCAGTTGTGTAGATACAGAAAAAAAAACCATTCGATTATTTTATCAATTGGATAATTAAAAAACATTAGATTATATATTATGTATTATAGAATGGTTAGTTCATTGGTTAAAATGAATTTGTCGAAAACAACATGTTTAGTTAATACATGTAATCACTTTTACATTAATATTTTATAAACAGTAATACTGAATCCGAATTAATATTGTTTCGATAAATCAGTGTGCATATGTGTTCGTAAATCAGGTTAGTGGATGATGGCGGGCTTGGGCAGTAATCGTGTCTCACAAACGTATAGAGCAGTTTAGTTATTCCGGGTTGTCGAGTAAATAAGATGGATTACTTATCTGAATGATTCCTATACAGAGAAATGCATTCAACAGCACATTTAGAATACAGAAAGCCCTCATTATCCGCGGTTGGGACCGCGACAAAATGTTATTGATGCGATAACGTTTTATCGTTTTAACACGAACACTAGATCATTTATTTTTGACAAATTTAGATAGCTGTTGTTATATCGCCAAGTGCAACAATCGTGCATGTACAACTATGTTCCTACATATATACTTATTGCAGATAAGCCACATAAAGTACTTTTACATGTACGGTTAATGATCGTCAATAATATTGTACTGTTAACTTTATTATATTACTGAACTGTACTTAAAGGTCTTGAAGGCGTTTAAATCAATAAAATAAAATTGCTCAGTAGTCAGTTGATATTTGTGCGTGATACCGGTACAGTGTGTATTTCGTAAATAATACATTTAGTAATGAAAATCATTTAAAATGGCTTATCGATATAATTTTTCAATGAAAAGGGGGAAGAAACGTTTTATCATTCGCGAATAAAATACTTCATTGTTGTCTACACAGTGTACTTATAAAACCTATGACTATGAAGAAGTTACAAGTCGGTAGTATACAGGTAGTGAGATTAAAAAAAAAAAAAAACAATTTGCTTACTATATCGTTCGAATGAAAAATGCATTCGAATGGTTCATTGAATTGTTAAAATCAATCGATTATTTTGTTTTCGACTACTAATCATTCGAGTAATCATTTTCTTTCAATTACTAATCATTCGATTATTCTCATCAATAGTTAGGACATTTGGCGTTTATGATTTTTTTTTTTTACCTCCTTAAGCGTCTTCGTGCCTCCACGCACCACAGCGTTGCGGTCGGATACAACCGCAACAGGCGTCCCCACTGCACGGACTTCCCCCGCCACCTCCACCGGTGCTGATCGATGATACGACGCGGTACTGTGATTTCGGTGATATTAATATGCGATCGACGGCGACGGTGATCGGTTGTATTTCTTGACGTTCCTTTGCTGCAGACATTTTTGGTCATCTTACAATAGTTGAGACGTCAAACCACGTTGATTTGACCATCAATATTGTACTCTACTTGTTGCTGCACTACGTTATTCGTCTATTGTCGGCATTATCGGTGAGTATTAAAACGTTTATTTTTTTTCTTCGCTTTTTTTTTTTTTAAATTTTTCGTATTCCAACTCATTTTATTGTTAGTCGTTTGGACCGTTTGATTCTACTGCGGGTCGTTCTCACGGGCCTACCCGAATTCTTCTTGTCGAGCTGTTTTAAATCGTGTTTTCCCCCGCCGCCTCTTCGAATGCTGTATACTGTGTGTTGCATCGGTTTTTCGTCCGTATAGTCTTGTAAATGATTTTTTGCCAATGCATTTGTAACATTTTTATCTTGTTACCACATTCAGGTACGCCGCTCAACTTCTGTTACTCCCTGTCTTCCAAACTTCACGTGATATCTCCATTGCCTGTCGTCGGCCTCTGCTTACGTGAGTTGTCGAGTAGTACCGCTGAAAGCCGAGCCGCTTTGAATGTTCATTACACACATAGTAAGTATACGGACAAAATTTTTTTTTATTATTTTTAATTATAGTCATATTAATAGTTATATATAATATATATATTATTGAGTTACATATAATTTTGAAAGCAGTAATTTGGTTTCAATTGATATCTGGAATCTGAATTGCAGCTTTGGCCTTTTTCTTGAACGTTTTAACCGATTATGTGTTTATCACCCCGAATATATGCATTAGGCTAAACAGGAATTTACAAGCGATTCGTAACTAATACTTATTAAATAGATTGTATCTTATTGATTATAGGCGTCTGCTTGTTATTTTAATCAATTTAATTAATTAATCTTAATAGCTAGTGTCTCATGTATGTCTAAATTACTTGTAGTATTTATTATTAAATATACTTTCCATTTTGACTAAGGCCATTTCCAAAGTTTTTTCATCCTTTTTGATATTATACCTTAGAAGTTAATGCATGTAGACCTCTGTCTGATACCAAATCACTGTTTCAACATTGTGTAATTGTCAACTGTATGAATAGGAGACTTACGTATAGTGGTGTATTGGTAAATATATTTATGGGTATACGCACTAATAAAATATGTATATTTATCCTGAAAAGTGTTCTCGCTTTGCTCGACAATTTTTTTTCTCGCTAAACTCAAATAAATTAAATTAATCCCTTACATGTTTATAACTTCTAATAAGACTATAAAATACAATACCACAAGATATACATTTGTCGCGCATTATAAATTGCTTAGTGCAGATTTATGAACCATGAGCTGAAATTCCATACTTTATATTATATTTAATAATATTTATTTTCAAAATATTTACTTAAATGAACTTAAAATACATTAAACTGTACATTGTAATCTTCAACTTATAAATATTTCATTCAAACTTCATAACAATTTTTTCCAATGATCTATTAAATAAGTTTTATTTGGTATGTGAGTTATTTTAGAAGCGTATACTCGTCAAATAATATTTTACATTAGATGTACGCCAAAGATCAAAAATCTGCAGACGGGTGTACGTACTAATACACCTCTGCTTGCATAATGAACTAGATTAATTACAGCAGATACTTTCTTACATCACCCATACATTTATATTGTTGTACAATCCTTAATAACTATTTATAACAATCCTATTTAATTATACATGTGACAAGTTTTTTGTATTATAGTTAATTTGCTTCTCTGTTATGTACTACTTATGTGTACTGCATTCTGATTACCATTTTTCATCTAACACTAGCTCCAGCGTTTAAGTGGGTACTATCCTTAGTCGAGTTAGGTATGCTTATTTGTATTTTATTGTATTGTCTAGTTAAAAGGATAATATCAACATGAAAGTATAACGTATGCGATGTGTTGTCATCATATTTTGGGAGGAGGGTTTTTTTGTCCATTTCATCTGTGGTGTAGGCGATCAAATATTTACGGGAGAGAATTTTATTGTTTCACATAAGGTTGAGTTATACAATTGTTTCTGCTTCTATCGAATTCTTTTTCAATAGTTTTGATATTTGGTCTTCCATCTCTTTTTTGTTATCTATGGTAAATCTGTATAGTCTTTTTCAACAATATCTTTCGACTGACAGGTTGATACGAGCCTCATATTGATTTACCGTACCTATGTCATATTTGTTTTTTTACAAAAACTGATTTATATTTATCTAGTAGCTTATTTATTTCGGCTTTTTTTTTCTAAATCTAAATGATTCATTTTTATTTCAAAATTGTTCTTATGTATGTGTTTATTGAAATTTATTGACTGTTTTATAGTATAATTTTTTTTTTGTAATTTTTATCTGGTAACCCAAAATTTGATTTTTTTCTTATAGAAATTTTTTCTAAATTTCTGCCTCTTCTTGTATTTCCAAAGTTTGTTGTGAAATTTTTAAATCTTTATTCTGAATTAATTTAAATTGTTTTATTATATCAAGTCTAATTAAAAATTCACTTTTAAAATTTTCTTAATCAACTATATATATATCCATTTTTTTCTGAATGTCAAAAATTTTAATTTTTATTGTTATATTTTATTGTTTAATTTATGATAAATTAAATTTTTTTCACACCATTAACCGTCAACATATTTATATTATTTACATTATATATATATTTTTTAAGTTTAATTAAATTTGAAATAATTATAGAAACATTTGAACCTGAATCATATATTCCAAATGTTTCTAATGAATCATTGAATAGTAGTTTTATTTTGATTAATGGTGTGATTATTTGCTTTTTTTTGATTTTCTTCAATTAGCTCAACCTCAATTTAGAAGCATTTCATCGTCTGATAGGACTATTTTTATGTTTTTTCATCTGTTTTTATTTTAAACCAACATATTTTTCTTCAGGGTGTAAAAGGGTACCTTTATTTAATCTCTAATTACCTTTAGAATCTGGTAATTCGTACATTACCAGATTCTATTATTTGTTGACATATGTTTCACAGAACTTATTTTTCTATATACTCCATTCTGCCTTTATTGTTACTTTCATCATCATCATAACCAGTCCAAACTTTATCCAAAAAATATCTGAGCATTTAAATTTTTCTTTCATCTTCTGTAATAGAAAAACTTTCTCATTCTTTTTCAAATGCTTTCCATTGGTTTGCATTTGCTTTTTTATATGTATACTGTTCAATCATAAATTTTTCTGATAATGATTTTAAATTTTGTTTACCAAAATCTCTTTCAACCAACTTTTTTATCATTCGAGTTAATGTATTTTCTTCTTCAAGTTCTTTTGTTTTTGTTCTTTCCTCCAAAATATATTTACCAAATTGCATATTACCACTATTGTTTATGTATGTATCCTGTATTTCTTGTGTCATGTTTATCTATACTTTTCTTGTTTGGTATCTTTTTTTTTGCATTCTTAACTTTTTTAAATACTTCTGTTTTTTTTCTACTTCTTTATGTAATATGGCTAGTTGTAAATTAATTGGAAAATTGAATGTCTTATCATTTTGTGTAGTAATTTAGGTTATACAGAGAATATTTGATTTTCCATCAGATGACGGTTTCACAGGCACATAGTCAGAAAATATTCACTAGGTGGGCTAATGTTAGGTGGACCCCCCTCCTTCCCAACTTTTTTTTTATTATAAAAAGATAGTTATCAGCATATCATCGCTACAAATATATAATTATATAACTTAATAATACCATATTTTATCATTTTGCCAATAACTAATAAGTGTAACAAAAAAAATATGTTTAAATACATAAATAAAAATCAAACACATAATAATGCTTTTAATAATTATAATGATAATAAAATCCAAATATTTTATATATAGATACAATTTTTAAATGAAATACAATAAGTATAATTTAGTACTAGTATAAAAGTATTTTTCTATTTTTATGTTTTATAGAAAATCTATTAACAACTTCATCTAGGTTCAAACTTTTGGCAATTTTTTTTTTATAAAAATACTTGACAAACTGACCAGTTGGTCATTTAACATACAATTTCTCATATAGTTTTTCAATCTTCTTAGACAAGAAAATGTTCTTTCGCATGCTGCGCTGGATAATGGAATAATGATTGATAAATGATTAATTTATAAGTTTCATTATATACAATTTTATACTTTTCAAGGAGATCAGTCAGATTCATTAAGCTTTTAATTTTTTATATTATTTTGGATTTTATATTTCTTAGTAGTTGTAGGTAGTATTTTAATTTCAGACAGAAACATTTCTAAATCTATATTGTAGTGAAGGGCAAAAAAAATATATTAAAAATCGATAATTTCATGAATTCAAAAAAAAGATTTTTTTTTTAAAGTATAAGGGAAAGTATATAATTTTTATTTTTATTCATACAAGAAAATAGTAGTCTTAGATTTAAATTAATGTATTATATTACTTACTATTATCTTAATTCATTATCAATCACTGACTGCAACGTTATAAAAAATATCTCTAGAGAAAACATTTTTCAACGCCCCCCCTAAAAAAAAAAAATCCTGAATCCAACACTGATCATTATTATTTTAACTTAGTCTATCATTAAGAGTTTTGATACTATATAATCGTTGTGAATTTGTGAATACTTTTTATAGTTATTATTTTACCTACTTTTTTTTGTATTATGCTTTTTATTAAGTTAATTATCTTGTTATTTAGGTATTTTTTTATAAATCAAAGAAATATTACATAATCATATATTATTTTACTATAGGTACTATTCATTTTTCAAATGATATTAATAATCCATTCATAAAGTAAAATTAATAAATCTGTTAGATTATATAATTAACAAAAATATAATCTTATTTTGTGCATCTATTAGATATATAAAACAAGTTTTTTAATTATTATTTCAGTTGAAAATGTTTACATTTATAAAATTTTTTTGTCTTAGGCATATTATTGAAGAAAAATGGCGTCTGATATTTCAAACATTAAAAAAGAACTGATATGTAGCGATATTATTGATATTTCCTCTGACGATGAAGGCAATAAAGTTGATGAAGATCATGTCAAAAAGGAAGGCATTGAAGACCATGATAACAAAGAGAATGATGCTCAAAACAACAAAGATGATAATAAAGATGAAAAAAATGTAGAGGGTATTGAAAATCAAAATAACAATGAAAATATTGAAGACTGCAAGGATAATCATGATACCAACACGACTGTCGGTATTAATGGAAGTTACGTTTGTATTGATCTTACTCTTACTGATGATACTGATATTAAAAATGCCATCAACGAAGATCTTAATAATACAGAATCAATTCAAGTTAATGTTATTGTTCCTAACAATGCTAACATTCCTAACGATGTTATCGTTCCTAACGATGATATCGCTCCTAACGATGTTATCGTTCCTAATCAAATACTTGATACAATCTCTGTATCTTCAGGCGAGGAAGAATCTTTAAATGAAGAAGAATTTGAAGATGAAGAGGAAGATATAGATGAAGATGAAGCTGAAGCAAATGATCCTTATTATATACATCCAAGTTTAATGGAAACTTTTAATTTTGCATATACCAGAAATACCAATCGTGCTGGACCTAGGTCAAGAACAAGAAACAAATTATCGTTACCAGATATGTATCTTCAGATTTGTAGTACTGGTATAAACCCGAGAACTGGACTTGAAATAAAAGAAAATTGTCTAAGAAACTTGTATATGTCTTTTTTGGATGAATCATCATCATCATCAAATGAGAGTTTAAATCATGCAGTTGATACCCCGCAAAATAATTCTAATATTATAGATGATTCAATGAAAGCTACATTCCAAGATTCTGGTGACACTTCTATAAACTCAAATCCTGAAGCTATGTTAATTTCTCAAGGGTACCAGTCTGAAAAAACAGAAGAAGATGCATCTTTTAGTACCAATCCTATGAATCACATTGCTGATGATTCAAAGACTGAAGAAGAATACCAGTCGGGAGAAACAGAAGAAGGTGCATCTATTAATACCAATCCTATGAATCGCATTGCTGATGATTCAAAGACTGAAGAAGAATACCAGTCGGGAGAAACAGAAGAAGGTGCATCTATTTATACCAATTCTATGAAACGCATTGCTGATGATTCAAAGACTGAAGAAGAATATCCGTCGAAAAAATCAAAAAAATGTGCATCTTTTAGTACCAATCCTATTAATCGCATTGCTGATGATTCAAAGACTGAAGAAGAATATCCGTCGGGAGAAACAGAAGAAGGTGCATCTATTAATACCAATCCAGTAAATGATATAATTGATGTTGCAATGATGGAAGAATTAGAAGAAGGTGCATCTGTTAGTACCAACCCAATAAATGATATGGATGATGTTCCAATGACTGGAATAGAATACCAGTCTGGAGAAACAGAAGAAGGTGCATCTGTTAGTACCAACCCAATGAATGGCATGGATGATGTTCCAATGACTGGAGTAGAATACCAGTCTGGAGAAACAGAAGAAGGTGCATCTGTTAGTACCAATCCAATAAATGACATAGCTGATGTTCCAATGATGGAAGTAGAATACCAGTCTGGAGAAACAGAAGAAGGTGTATCTGTTAGTACAAATCCATTAAATAGCATAGATGATGTTCCGATGACTGAAGAAGAGGATGAGTCCGGAAAAACAAATGAAGGTGCTTCAATCCAATAAATGGCATAATTGTTACTTCTAAGACTGAAGAAGCAGTGCATACTGTTATGAATACAATATTAAATTGTATAAAATAATGATTTATATTGTAATACATTAATTTACATTTTAAATAAACATTAAAAACAAATAATTTTCATAATGTACAATTTTTAATTTTTTCAATAATGTTCTAAATCTTGCTCTTTTTAAATTTTGATGTGATTCATGATAATATTATAATAAAATAATAATTATTTGATATTATTATTTATTAAAATTTTTTTGCCATGTAAGGGAAAGACAAATTCAGATAAGACAATTTAAATAAAATGTAAAATATAAATTCAATTTATAACCAATTTAATAAATAAAAATGATATTGGTATTTTAAAATATTTACAATTTTAATTTTTCAAACATATTTTGTATTCAAAATTGATGATCATATTAAATTACTTCCACTTTAGTTTACTTTTTGGTATATACTATGACAGTGGTGGCCAAATTACGGCCCGCGGGCCAACTCCGGCCCGCCATCATTTAATATCTGGCCCGCGAAAGTCTTCTATATTACAGCACTTATTTGTATAACTGTAATATTTTGCATTTACGTAAAAAAAAATTTAGAATGCATTTTTTTATGGCCCGCGATAAAAAAAAGTTGTTTTTTATGGCCCGAGGAAAAAAAAGTTTGGCCACCACTGTACTATGAAATAGTATAATTAGCGTTTAGTAATATTAATTAATATTACCAATATTAAGTTTTAATATAATCGACAAATCTTTTACTGTCTAATTTGGTAAGTGTTACAAGTGTTATAAACATAAGTTTAACTCATATCAGTACATAATTATCAATGTATATTATAAGTATTTGAGTATCAAAACCGTTTTTAATTAATATTTTGAATAAGATAAATACTAATAAATAAAATTATATTTACTAACACTTACAAGTTTATTATTAAAATCTTTGATTAGACTTAAGTACTGAATTACGAGCATTATAAGGATACTTAATTTTTATTACGGCATTTTCTCCAATTAAACTATCACATTAAAAAAAAAAATATTTATAACTATAAAATGTAAATCTATAATTTAATTAATAATTATCTGGACTTGCATCCAAATATGGTAGATCAGGTTCAGTAATAAGATCACAAGTTTGGACGTTTACATTAGGGGAGACCGGCTTAATATGACATATTACTTTTTCATTTTAAAAAATTGAAGGAAATAATGTTAGTTAACACATGAAACTTGAGTAGCATATTTGTATTTATATTATACACATAGTTCTGAAGTCAAATTGTACATTTAGTACAAATAAATAATTTTAATTCACTTTTTTAAATATATACCTACTGTCATTTTCTCTGGAGTGTCAGATAAAATGACATACACCATTTGCATGAGCAAATATTGTATCTTCACTTGGCAACAAAAATAAATTATAACATTTTTGAAATGTCTTCATAATTTTTTTATTATAAATGAAAACATCTTTAGTCAAAAGTTACAACAAAATTAAAATCATACTTATAAATGTAATAAAAAATCTAATTAGATAAAAAATAATACTTAAACTTTTAAGCTTAGCTTGAGGTACATTGAATTGTTAAGAAGCTTTCAGCCATCCCATCTCTTTATTTCGCACAGCCAATATAGCACTATTCATGTTTACCTTTGACCATGTTTGGCGATCAGTTTTCCGTGTATAGTTTGATACCATTCTCAACTACAATGAATAATATAAAAAAAAACAATTAATTATTATGATAATACCTATAACCATAATAATCTAATAGTAATTTATTTGACCTATACTTAATATAATTTAAATATATACTAAATAATAGGTAAAAAATGTACCTATAATCATAGTATATTATACTATGGGTAAAATGACAGACTGCTATGTCATTTTGCCTGATATCATACAAATTTTTTTTCCAAGTTTTTATGGCAAAAGTATTATAATAAGCTTATTTATAAAAGAATTGTAGTATAGCTTACCTTTTAATGTTCCACTTCAAATCGAAAAATTTGAAGTTGAACACAATTTTATGTAGGTATTAAAATTAATTTTTAAAAATGATAAAAAAAAAAAAATTGATAACACATAAAATACATTTTTGCTATCAAATTCTCTGATAAGGTAAAAATATGTGATCACTGTATAGAATCGTATGAAGGAGGTTTTATATCACGAATTTAAAGCATATTATGTTCGTAAATATCAATATTTTTAATCAAAATATTAGTCATATTACACTAATGTGTAATATTAAGCTGGTCTACCCTATAGATTTCTTCGAACGAGAGGTAAGACAAATCTTCCCTTTCGATTTCATAACATAACATTTTTTGATTTCTAATTTAAATGTCATACATAAAAATGTACAGTCGGTACCACCATAATGGTATTTATTTTTTATTTTTTCAAAAATATAAGCTATATCAACTATTTGTCTACCTAATATATTCCTAAATATAAATATACGTAATAAGTTGCGACGTCTTGATTTGGCGAACGCCGAGTAATGGACTGATAAAAAACGACTAGTAAACGACTGATATGTTATTTGAACGTCGCCTGTTTTGTACAATGTTAACGATGATGACGGTCGAGAGCAGGAACGAAACCTTGATGAGTTGTACAGTTTCAGTTCCAGTTCGGTCCCTAGAAAAAAAAAAATCGGTTCCGGTTTTGATGACGATTCTAAATTAACTAAAATTATTGAGTTTCGGTTCCTTTTCGGTTTCGATTTTTAAAATAACAAAAATTTAGGTTTCGGTTCTTAAAAAATTAAAAATTAGTTTTATTATGTGCATACATATTATAATGTCACGGGCATATATTCTATCACATAGTGTTACAGATATATATATATATATATATATACAAATATTATATCAATTGCATTACAATAACACAATCATTCCACTATAGCGGATATATGTATATGTAGTATGAAAACCACATTCGTGGATAATTTAAATTATTTAATTAATTCACACGATCATTATACGGGAAATTAAGATAATAAATGAATAATCGAAATGGCAATAATCATATCCTGTACCTATGCGTCAGTAATTATGTACCAGACGAGAGATCTCACACACACGCAGAATCAATAAGGAATTATCATATTTTATTATCATTTTCATATACACACACACACACACACACACGCTTGGGATTAACACACACACACACTTGCATATATCGGGTATAAAAGGGGGTCCCGAACAGGCCTTAATTCAGATGTGTTTTAGTCTTGTTAATGCACGCACTTTCACGCCAGTTTGTTTTATAAATTAATTATTCAGACCTCGAATAATTTTACAAATTGAATAAATTGGACTTGGAAATAATTCGATAAAGTTAATATTTTTAAGTCTTGAGTTATTTATTTCAACATTATTATTCTACATTGATTACGAAGTTGAACCGTTGAGTGTACTCATCTCTCGTTGCACTGTCCGGTACCAATATACCGGCACGCAACAGTTTCAAGTTTAGTATTACACTGATGTGAGAAAAATTTGGTTCTGTTTCGATTTTTTTAAAAATATTACTAGTGTTAATTAGTGTCAATTATAGCGGTTAATACCAATTTTCAACCAGATATCCTACCATGACTTAGGACTAATTAAGTAAATGTGTTTCATCGTCACGACTACTCTGTTTCAAATATCGTTTTATGTTTTTTTATAGTTCAAACATTGACTTGTGAATTACCACTTGTCATATCATTATTCAGTACTTGAATTTTTAAAATATACATTACTAAATATTTTTAAGGTTCGTCTTGCGGTTGGTGGTTCCAGTAAATAGTACATTTGAAGGTCTGTTTCACTTTCATAGGATTTTAATCTGATCACTTTACCTCAAAGATATACAATAATTATAAATATGTGTTTTACCTCTTAATAATCCGTGATTATTGAAACATTTTAGGATAATTAATAATTATGCTAACAGAACAAAATCTTTTAATATTTATTGTTGATTTATCCATAAAATAAATATATTAAAATAATAATACTTAAGATAAGAAAACTTTTGAAATGAAAGGATTTTATGTAATACGTCGATAAATTATTTTAATATTGGTACTTATAAAAATACCTGTAAATATTTGATGATATTTACCTAATTAACCTATTCATAAATTATACATCATAATGAATAACAATAAAACGTGTTTAGTGTTAACCGCTCAGCTGCTCAGTGGCGTATATAGGAATTATTTCCACTATGAGCCAATTTACCCTCACCATAACTACTAACATAACTACAAAACTAGAAATTGTTTAGGGAACGGTTGGTTTTAATTTTGGCATGAATGGTACAAATATAGGAATTTAAATTTATTAATATATATTTATTATTAAATAAGATACATGATAAATTAAGTATTTTTCCACAGTAGGTAGACTTAAAATGTTTTTGACTTAATATTATGTAAAATTTTTCTATTTTTTTTAATAAAACATTAACATTGTCTTCAACATTTAGAGGTATGTTACGATGAATCTTCATCAACGCAAAGGCCCGATATCTAACATTGCCTTGTTGATTTCTCAAAAATAAAAAATAAAAAAATAAAAAAATAAAATAAAAAATAATAATAATAAATAATAACAATAATAATAATAATAATAATAATAATAATAATAATAATAATAATAA